TGCTGATGACATCGGCGGCGTTATGTTTAACATGGTCGACCTTAAGTTTCTAGCTCGAGCGTTGGCGGCGGCGGAGAAGTTGGCGAATCTCAAGTTGACGCCGCCCAAGTGCGTGCTGGCACCACTCGCCGACTCATTCTCCGAGCAGGTGAGGACCATCACGATGTATTTCTTGAAGACGCAGGTACCCAGCTGGGCGTCATTCAAAGTGGAGGATATGTTATTGCACCGTGGCGTCTGCCTAGGACCTGCAGCTCAGGCGACGCAGTCCTGAGAGGCGCCGCGGGCGAAATACAAGCTACGAGTTGGCGCGCTGGCGGGGTTGTCGGCCCCTCTGTCGTTGAACGCGCTCGACTACGTCATGCGCGCGGCACCGACGCTTAGCTACGTCGCCCAGTTCACCCCGCTGCCTGAGGTCATTCGACAGTTCGACATCCACGCGCTGGTCAGGCTCATGCGCTTCCCGGGAGGTGCTCTGCGATATGTCGACTTCTTCGCGCTGGCGGAATGGAGAGGACCGAAGTTACATTCCGTTGCGGCCATGGCGGACGCGGCGCTCGCCAGGTCGGGGCGCACCACTCATCCTGAGCATCGTCGCTATTTGGCCCAATTTCGAGCGGCTCCAGAACGGTGGTGTACGCATCGTCGGCTGGTCGATCTTACTGGCCAGCTTTCGCCGTCCTTCTGGGCCGCGAAATCCATGGTGGAGATGATTGCGGCTACGTGTTCTTCTGCGTCCCCACCGGCTTCCGCTGCTCGGCAGCGCATGGCAGAGCATCCACAAGCGACTAAAGGCGTGCAGCGCGTTGCTTACGCGGCTTCGATGGCAGCCTTCTTCTTGCCTTTCAAGCGCGGGAGTTCGGAGTCGTCGCCACTGGTCTCCATTATTATTCGTCGCTGGGAAAAGTGGTTTCCTGAGCAGTCATCGGCGCTCGCTGCGCTAGACTGGTCTGCTCTTCGAAGGAAGCTCCGAAGCTATCCGATGGCTTGGGCGTCGACTATCTTGCGTGGATTAATCGGTGGGTGTCTCACGTCTTCGAGGATAACGGGTCGCGAGGGTGCGTTTTCGGTTGCGACGGATGCAAGGACGAGATTGGTCATTACTTTCAATGCCGTGGATTAGCATGGGGTTTCGCTATGGCAAGATCTGGTGGTCGCCGTTATCTTCCTGAAGATGTGCTCATGAGATGGGATCTCGAATCAGCCACGGATGATTATCTTCTCAACAAGCAGTTGGCAACGATGATTTATCACGACGTGCGGCATGATGATTATGTCCCACCAGATGCGCTCCTTTCCGCAGCTCGTGGTGCGCTACGTGTACGCGCGCTGGCTCGGCCCACAGCTGGGTGGACGTCGTCATCGGGGGCATCAGCCGCGGCCAGGGCTACCCCGTCGCCTCCACCATCGGATTATCCGACAGAATCACCACCTTCTTGGGCTTTCCCTTTGGGTGAGCTTCTGGGTGGTATCCAATTTGGGCTTCATGTTCTGCATGGTTTGCTACCCCATCGAGTTCGCTTTCCCATGACTCTGGGAGAGCAGCGCTTCGGGTTACCGCCGGTGCTGGGTGCAGGACACAGGCTAACAGCCCTTGTGGACGGACTTCTTTTGCGAGTTGCTTCGTGGGCAAGGATTTGGCTGCCGTCAATTTTTCTACCTGGATCGGTACTTGCTGACTTTGATGATTGGATGGTTTGGTGCCCTGACAAGCTGGCTGAGGTGCTTCGCTATCGGTGCTTCCAAGGGCTCTTTCCTGAACCTGACGCTCAAGCCCAACCCAGGTGGCAGTTGGGCTGTATCATCGCTCGCGCTTGCTGGCACAATACAACGGATTCGCGTCACAAGCTGGAGATGCATCTACGCGGGCCCTGGCCGCGAGCCGATTCTGCTCGTCAGCTGGCTATCGCTCGCCGCAGGGGGGAGCATGACACTCTTAGGCACTGGTCGCATGAGGTAACGAGCTTCTTACCACAGCACTTGGCCGTTCATTGGTCCGAGAGCGAGACCGCATCGCACCGAGCGTGCCCACAGAATCTTCCAGATGAGCGCTTGCGTGGACATGAGATGTACTGTGCGCTGGTGGACAGAGAGGGCATGTGGTCCCAGGCGCGGCCCCCGTCCCTACTGATTACCTCAGCAGAGAGTGACTTCCAACAGTGGATGGAGTGGTGCGTACCGTATGTGACTGATCTGCTCCGCTACTCTGGATTTCGCGATCTGCTGCGATGTGAGGCGAGGTCTATCTCCAGTAGCGCCAAGAGGTGGGAGGTCGCCATAGAGGTCTGCATGCACGGGAGGTACTCAGGAGCAGGTCCACGAGAGCTCCTCCGCACTCAGATGACAGATCCATGGGGTGTCCGCGGTGACCTAAGGTTGCGTCAACTTCGGCGTCGCGGGCTTCAGCTGATTCGACAAGCGGGGTGGAAAGCAAACGCCGCGCGCGCCGACGGAGGAAAGAGAAGACTACCTGTTGATTCAAAGGACATTCGTGGGAGGGCCGCCGCCTGCGCTTCTGCCTCTACTACACCATCGACATCGCGTGCCCGCTGGCCCTGCTGTGGGTGTGAACGCATCTGGTGAACCATTTCCTGATGAAGACGATGGTAGTATTGGCGGCGATGGTTATCTCAACCCGCCCGACGTGGGTATCGAGATGATGCAAGCTGTTGTTGACGAGTCCTCCTGCGTTGAGGCGGCTGTCCATGGCGCTGCGGAACCGAATGAGAATGACACCATGTCTCCTGGCGAATATTCCCACCATGTTGGCCCCATCCTGTCGGACGGGGACGTCGAGAGACACGTCCTAGCCTCGCTGCGACGGTCCAGGGGGGAACCGCGGACAGACGGACGCGACCCTACGGCGGCGTCTTCGTCGGGATTGGCTGATGCTTCTGCTCGAGGGTCGATTCCTGCAGCGCCGTTCCTTGGTGGGCGCGATGGAGGAGGCGACAACTCGAGCGAGACCGACGGCGAGTTTGACAAATCCATGGCCGCGCACGGTTTCGGTGTGACTTATCCAGACGGTTCGCTTGGAGGTGCGCATCGTGGCGGAGACAGGGAAGCGGTTCCTGATGGGTCTCCGTCTGCGGGCGTCGCTAGGCCTAATGAGGGACTGCGCGACGGCGCCGATACGAATGGCGTGCAAACTGGACTCGGCGAAGTCGAGGACGAGGATGAGGGGAGGGCTTTTCAGCAGTATAGGCCTTTGCAGACAGTCAGATCGTTCGTGGCCTCGGTTACCTCTGCTACTCAGTCTGGGCATTCTTCAGCACACTCGTCGGGCGATGCCCGTTCGCCCGAACAGCTGGTCGCGGCGACAGAGTACATGAATACGCACTACCACCTGTCGGCCGAGCACCGCGAGCTGGATCTTTGGGTTCTACACAATGTTGGCGTTCTGCGGGAGAACGATGCTAACCTTCACTTATCACTGCCCATCTGCGGCACGGATATCCCCATCGATGATGACAAAGACAGCGTTTTCGACGAGCTGTTGTTAGACACAGTTGATTATGAAGAGACAGAAGAGCTAAACATTACCTCCATAGAGGATATGCATGACCTCGCTAGTCGTGAGCCCGAACATGATTCAGATGACGCGCGTGCGGAGACGCTAGCCATGGTGACCTCTCATAGTGTGATTCATCCAAGTGGCGCTCACACGGTGGTGCAGGAAATCGTCGAGGTCGTCGCCTCCCCAGGTGCAACAGCGGTGGACTTCAATGAAGTTCCCGACGTGGACGCCAGCACCGCGGACTACGGCGATGTCGCCCCCGCCGCCGAGCCTCTGAGCGGCGAGATTGGGGCGGGCGCGCGCGGCGGCTGCTCGGCTTAGACAACGACGCGCCTCTTAGTGGCGTGGGATCCTCCTCCTCCTCCTCCTCCTCCTCCTCCTCCTCCTCCTCCTCCTCCTCCTCCTCCTCCGCCCCCCCCCATGCGAAAGCGCGGCGCCCCGCACGTCCTGTGGCAGCCCTGGGCGCGCCGGCTCAGGGCCTCTCCTCGCGCCCCTGGGGAGATCGGGCAGCCGCTCTCCCCGCGGGGGGGGGGAGCGACCTGTTCGGCGGGGCTGCACGCCGGCGGGGCGGTCGCCTTCTGTCAGGCGATCGCAAGCATGGATCAGGGGGGGCGTGTGGATTAGCGACGGGTCCCGTTTCCGTGGGAAGTCGCGGAGTTCCGCCGCGGAACGAGGCGGCACCGGCGGCATTTTGGGTAGGGCACTTCCGCCGATCCATGAATTTGGTGAACTCGCGCCAACTCCATGGATCGCTAATCCATGTTTGCGCGCCCCCGACTCTGTACACCCAACGGTATTTTTTGAGTCGGGCATGTCCCTCTACAGGAGGAATGTGGCAAATAGGGGAATATGTTTTGTGTTTTTGTTTACTGTTGTGTTGATATGTTGTTGGCCATCTGGTATTTTTCGCCCGAAATCCGCCTGTAGGAGGACACGCCCGAACTATCGGTACTTTTGAGCAGCATGGATCTAGGCCTCCTAGATGGGGTCCGAGTGGATGGGGTTGGAGGGTCGCGCCGCATCGCCAATGCATCGGCGATGCGGCTCGATGTGGAGACCGTGATCGATGCACCGCCGACGTCGGCGATGCATCGCCGATGCATCGCCGATGCATCGGCGATGCATTGGCGATGCGGCGCGACCCTTCGACCCCATCTACTCGGAGCCCATTTAGGAGGTCTCGAATGGATGGAAGAGCAGCATGGATGGAGGAGGAGCATGCCCTGAGATCCTAGCGTTGCAATTTGTTCACTGGGCGTTGTTTTGCTCGTCGTCGGGTCCCGGGACCCTCGCAGATCGATCCTGCTCGGAAAATGACGCAGAAAGATGGGTCCGGGGCTCTGGGCGTGATTTTTCGCGGTGTTGCATTTTTGCGCAACGTCGGATTTCAGGGTGGATGGAGGAGAGCATGGATGGAGGAGGGAGGGACGGGAGTGGTGGAACAGGAAGGCGGAGGCAGAAGAGAGGAGAGAGGGACCGAGAGGCGTCCTGAAGATGATTGGCGAGATGAGACCGTACGTCGACATCCCGCAGTTCGCAAAGCTTCGCCAAGAGATCTACGGGCTGCTCGGCCTAGATATGCCAGAGAGGAGCGCGAAGGACTTTTCGAAGGACTGCGCGGAGCTGGCCGTGGCGGACGCTCAGCTCGCGGCTGGGGTGACAAAGAGCTACATCGCTAGCCGCATTTCGTGACGTCGAGCCTTCGGCCGGCACGAAGAAAAGCGGACACTGGAAGGAAGGGGGGCCCTGGATCCTGGAGGAGGAGGAGGAGGAGGAGGAGGAGGAGGAGGGAGTCCTGGAGGGCTTTGCCACTGTCGGGCTCCCTGGCCCCTCGGGCCAGGGGGCCACCAAGGCGAGGCTCGGGGGTGAAGAAGCCTAGTCCCCAGGGAGTTCCCAGGGACCAGAATTGGCCAGGACCCGCTTCCACCAGGGCCCCCTGGTTATATATATATATATATATATATATATATATATATATATATAAACACGTATCTCTCTCTCTATATATATATATGTGTGTGTGTGTATGTATGTATGTATGTATGTACGTACGCACGTATGTATGTATGTATGTATGTATGTAATGTAATGTAATGTAATGTAATGTAATGTAATGTAATGTAATGTAATGTAATGTAATGTAATGCAATGCAATGCAATGGAATGTAATGGAATGTAATGTACTGTAATGTAGTGTAATGTAATGTAATGTAATGTAATGTAATGTAATGTAATGTAATGTATGTAATGTATGTAATGTATATAATGTATGTAATGTATGTAATGTATGTAATGTATGTAATGTATGTAATGTATGTAATGTATGTAATGTATATATATATATATGTATGTATGCATGCATGCATGCATGCATGCATGCATGCATGCATGCATGTATGTATGTATGTATGTATGTATGTATGTATGTATGTTGGAGGTTTGGGGGTGCGATCGCAGTGGAACGGAGACCCCCAACCGGGAAATCATTTCGTTTCGTTCGTGTCGCGCGTGCGGGCGAGGCGAAGCTGCGTGGGCGCGCGAGAGGAATGAACCCGCCGTTGCTAGGGCGAAGTCAAGACAAATGATTCTCCCCCGTCCGTCCGTCCGTCCGTCCGGCGGTGGCCCTAGCGGTGTCCCGCGGTGTCCCGTGGTGTCCCGTGGTGTCCCGTGGTGTCCGCCGCTGCTAGGGCGAAGTCAAGACAACTGATTCTCCCCCGTCCGTCTGTCCGTCAGGCGGTGGCCCCAGCGGTGTCCCGCGGTGTCCGTGGTGTCCCGTGGTGTTCCATAGTGTCTGCCGTTGCTAGGGCGAAGTCAAGACAAATGATTCTCCCCCGTCCGTCTGTCCGTCTGGCGGTGGCTTGCGGTGTCCCGCGGTGTCCCGTAGTGTCCCGTGGTGTCCCGTTGAGTGAGATCGATAGTGAGATCAATACTGAGATCGATGTGGTGCCCCGAGGTGTCCCGTGGTATCCCGTGGTGTCACGTTAAGTGAGATCGATAGTGAGATCGACAGGTGTCCCGCGGTGTCCCGTGGTGTCCCGTTGAGAGAGAGTGAGATTGTGTGATCGATACTGAGATCGATACTGAGATCGATACTGAGATCGACGTGGTGCCCCGAGGCGTCTCGTGGTGTCCCGTGGTGTCCCCAAAAATGTGATTGGTAGTGAGAACGATACTGAGGTCGACGGGTGTCCCGTGGTGTCCCGTGGTGCCCCGTTGAGTGAGATCGATAGTGAGATCGATACTGAGATCGATGTGGTGCCCCGAGGTGTCCCGTGGTGTCCCAAAAAGTGTGCTTGATAGTGAGAACGATAGTGAGATCGACAGGTATCCCGTGGCGTCCCGTGGTGTCCCATTGAGTGAGATCGGTAGTGAGATCGATATTGAGATCGATACTGAGATCGATGTGGTGCCCCGAGGTGTCTCGTGGTGTCCCGTGGTGGCCCAAAAGTGAGATCGATAGTGAGATCGGCAGGTGTCCCGTGGTGTCCCGTGGTGTCCCTTTGAGTAAGATCGGTAGTGAGATCGATACTGAGATCGATGTGTTGTCCCGTGGTGTCCCAAAGGGTGAGAGCGATAGTGAGATCGAGTGGTGTCCCGTGGTGTCCCGTGGTGTCCCGGTGAGTGAGATCGATAGTGAGATCGATAGTGACATCGTTGTGGCGTCTCGCGGTGTCCCGTGGTGTCCCGTTGAGTGAGATCGATAGTGAGATCGATACTGAGATCGAGTGGTGTCCCGTGGTGCCCCGTGGTGTCCCAAAGGGTGAGATCGATAGTAAGATCGATAGTGAGATCGATGTGGTGTCCCGAGGTGTCGCGTGGTGTCCCGTGGTGTCCGATGGTGTCCCGATGAGTGAGATCGATCGTGAGATCGATAGTGAGACCGATAGTGAGATCGAGAGGTGTCCCGTGGTGTCCCGAGGTGTCCAGTGGTGTCCCGTTGAGTAAGATCGATAGCCAGATCGATCGTGAGATCGACAAGTGTCCCGTGGTGTCCCGTGGTGTCCCTTGGTGTCCCGTGGTGTCCCGTTGAGTAAGATCGATGGTGAGATCGATTGAGTCAGATGTTGGTTCCCCCCCGTTTCCCCTCCCGCAACTACCTTATCACCCGAAGGGTGGTCGTATAGGTCTGTCTGTCTGTCTGTATGGATGTCTATCTGCATGTATGTCTGCATGCATGCATGCATGAATGCATGTGTGTATGCATGTATGTACGTATGCACGTATGTGTGTATGTTTGTATGTACGTATGTACGTATGCAGGTACGGATATATGCATGCACGTATGTATGTATGCATGCATGCATGTATGTATCGATGTATACGTATATGTATATATGTGTGTACGCATGTATGTATGCATGTATGTATGTATGTGTGTGGATGTATGTGTGTATGTATGTATGTATGTATGAATGTATGTATGCATGCATGCATGCATGTATGTATGTATGTATGTATGTATGTATGTATGTATGTGTATGTGCGTATATGTGTATGTGTGTATGTGTGTATGTATGTATGCATGTAGGTAGGTATGTATGTATGTATGTGTGTATGTATGTATGTATGTATGTATGTATGTATGTATGTATGTATGTATGTGTATACGTGTGTATGCGTGTATGCATGTATGTATGTATGTATGTATGTATGTATGTGTATGTATTTATGCATGCATATGTGTAAGAATGTATGTATGTATGCATGTATGTGTGTGCACGTGTGTATGCATGTATGTATGTATGTATGTATGTGTGTGTGCATGCATGTAGGTATGCATGTAGGTATGCATGTATGCATGTATGTATGTATGTATGCATGTATGCATGTAGGTATGTATGCATTTATGCATATATGCATGTATGCATGTATGCATGTATGTGTATGTGTGTGTATGTGTGTATGTATGCATGCATGTGTGTCTGTATGTATGTACGTATGTAGGTAGGTAGGTAGGTGGTATATAGATAGGTAGGTAGGTCGGTATGTATGTATTGTTGGATGCGTGAATGTATGTATATATGTATGTTTGTGCGGAGATGCATACATACATATATACACTTACATGTATGCGTACACGTATATTTGCATGGGTTCGTGTCAATGCGCCTACTCCGCGGCGATCGATTAGGGGATCGACTACATAATCGATTTGCACCAGACATTGACTCCTCTGCCGAATTACGGACAATATGTCGAATGCTCCGTAGATCTACTGAACATTCTACGCATTCTCTTCAAGTTGACGGAAAATCAATTCTGGGCTAAATCAATTCCGTAGTCGATCCCCTACTCGAAGCGAACGAGGGCCCGAGGGGCCGAACCGAAACGCAGGACGGACCAAGGGACCCAGCGCATAACGAGCAAAGAGGCACGACACCAGGACCCCCTGTCCTTCGTGCCAGCTTGGGCGAGGCCGCTCTGCCGAGGCAGGCGAGCACTGCGGCCCGTATCAGATGGATAAGTGTCTGGGCCCTCAGACCCCCGACGTCGCGATTTTTTCGCAGCGTAGACCCCCGGAGGTCTCGAGCCCTTCCCTGGTCGGGGCTCAAGAGACGGGAGTCAACGCAAACGGGGGTCAGCCAGGGCGCCGGATCTTGCAGGAGCCTGCAGGGCCAGGGCCGCATTGACCCGGCCTGGGTGCAGGATCCTGCAGGACCTCGCAGGATCCCACAGGATCCTGCAATGCCCGACTGACCTGGGTGTGCATGGACCCGGGCCAGCAGATCCCCGACCTGGGACCTGCGTCTCATCCCGAGTCGATTCTGGCGGTCCCTGGGCCCGAAAAGGGCCCCCAGGGGCCGGAGATGCCAGAAGCTCGCCCGCCGCGCTTGGTCACGACGCGAGGGGGTCTGGGTCTGTGTGCCGACAGTGGCCGCTCGCCGCCCGCCCGCCGAAAAGGCCGCCGACGCGCGCGAGCCACCCTCGAGCAGCAGCCGCCGCCGCGCTGTGCGTCCCACGGGCGCCTCGCGCACCGTCGTGGCCGAGCGGTGTGCGGTGGCCTTCCAGAGGGGCCCCCCGGCCTCTCTGAGGCCCTCCTGCTTCCCGAGGGTCTTAAGACTGGATTAACCCGGGTTCAGTAACCAGGTTTTAGGTTTTGCACCTTGTCTTGGGGTTGATTTTTCGGATGGGGACCTATCACCCGGTCTACCTGGGCCTAACACCCGGTCAATTCCGACTTAAGACTTGGTCCGCGCACAAGGGGCGCTTCACAGTTTTATATAAGGCCACATAAACCTAACACCCGGTTTCTGTTCCCTGGTTAATCGCTTCTTAAAGGGTCGGGCAGTGCGAAGGGGGGTCGGCATCCCCCTCTGATGGGGCCGCCCCTGCGATCCCTCCTCGAAGCCAGGCGCAAGGCTTTCCCGCGACGTGGCGGCACCCCAGGACCCCACGATTTCAATGCTCGCGCCGGAATCGGCGCCTGCAGGCACAGAGAATCTGGCCCCGCGGCAGGCGTTTCGCGCTCCGATCAGCATTAGAAACTTGCGTTTGGTTTCGAGAAGGGTTGCAGGGTCCAGTTGGGGGCATTTCTACCCCTGCAGGGGCACTGACACCGTCACGAGTGGGGTTAGTGAAGCATGCGCCTGCGCAGAGGCTTCAGCCGTGAGTTGACGGACATGCGTAACTTTCTATTGCCTCCAGTGGTTCAAGGAAAAAATCAAGAGCGAAAGGGGGCCACCAGTTTCTTGAGGAAGTCGAGGCTCCAAGATCGATGCTCGAGGAGGGTTTTGCGCGTCGGAGGTCGTTTTGACAGGCTCTGGAGTGCTCTTGGGGGCCCAACTCCTGGAAGTGGCGCCCCCACTGGTGGTGACCCCCCGCGACATTGCCCCAGAGGGCCCTCCCAGAGGCCCCGGGCACCCTTTCAGAAGCCCCCCCGCCATGGCCCTTGCCCTTCGTCTGCGCGCCCCCAGACTGTGCCGTCCACGCCTCGCGGCGAAGCTGAGCTGCCAGTCCTCCCTTTCGAGCCCTCGGTAGACGCCTCTCTGTCGAAACCAGGCCAGAACCGTCGACGTCAGACCGCGGCGAGAGCGAGGGCGAGGGCGGTGGCGACGACAGCAACGATGCCAGCCGCGACGCCGACGGCGACGGTGGCGACGGCAACGCCAGCGACGCCGGCGACGCCAGCGACGCTGGCGACGACGGAGCCTGCGGAGGCGCCGACGACGCAACCGGCGACCACAACGGCGATGACGACGACGACGACGACGACGGCGGCGACGGCCACGGCGCAAGCGGCGAAGGCGACGACCACGGCGTTGACGTCGACGGCGACGGCGATGGCGCGACGACTGCGGCCGTGACGTCACGCCCTTGTTGTCTGCTCGAGCTGCTGGAGGGCTCGCGCTCGGTAGCAATACGCAGTGCCGGAGCGCACGCCGTGTGGTCTGCTGGAAGGGTTCGCGTTCGATCGAGATACAGTGCTGGAGCGCACCCCCCTTGCGTTCGGCGTCGTTTGCCAGATAGGTTTCGTTCAATGGAAGTCTCGTGCGCGCTGGAGCGACACGCCGTGGCGACTTCTAGTCGTATTCATACAGGAGGGTGGGAGGGGAGGGTGCGGCGGCTGCGGGCGCTAGCTCTGCACTCGCGCCTCCTTCTCGAAGGTGCGATGGACGCAGCGAACATCAAGGCGCGACAATTGCCCCAGAGATCCACTGGTGCGTACACACAGTTGTGCTTCGCACTCCCACTAGCAAGAAGACCCCACTGATTGTTTGTAGGAGGAGGAGGAGGAGGAGGAGGAGGAGGACGCAGCGGAAGAGAGAGGGGGAGGAAGCAAGTTAGGTTCGCTCGCGCCATATCTGGTGTCCCACCCCCTTCCCATGGCGCCGACTGTTCCTCCATCCGCGGACGCGTGTCATAGCGGATCTGGGACTCACCGAAATACCCCATCGCGCTACGTATGCGCAATCGGAAAAGTGGAGCTGCCTACATAGGAGGAGGGGGGTGGAGTTGGAGGAGGAGGAGGAGGAGGAGGAGCAGCAGTAGGAGGAGCAGGAGCCTTCCAGCTTTCCGCCCCAGCCGCAGTGGCTGTCTGCGGCAGCTGGTCCGCGCGCCTAGCGGGCGCTGGCCGCCGCCGCTCCGAGGGCCGCGTCCTCCGAGGACCGCCCCCTCTCCCTGCGCATCTGGCGGAGGCGCCGGGAGCCATGGTGTTGCTGGGCGGGCGTTGGCCGCCTCCGCTCGGAGGGCCGCGTCCCTGGGGACCGCCCTCCCTCCCTGCGCCTCTGGCGGAGGTGCAGGGAGCCGTGCTGGTGGTCTCGCAGGTGGTGTCCCCATTCCACCTCCGAGATCCTCAGCACCCCGCAGCAGACCCCCGCGACCCGCGTCACGGACATCCGCTGCGACATGCCTTCCAAGGAAGGTGACGGTGTTGTTGTCGTCGTGTTGCTGCTGCGGCTTCTGCTTCTTCGTCAATCTCTTTCTCGCAGCTGTGGTCTCGGGGGCCGCGCCCCTGGGGACAGTCCCCTCTCCCCGCGCATCTGGCGGAGGCGCGGGGAGCGGTACAAGCGGGCTCGCGCTGCGGCGTGACGTCGTTCCGACTCCGAGATCCTCAGCACCCCGCGACGGACCCCACGGCAGCAGCCGTGAGCATCCGCCGCGGCATGCCATCCAAGGAGGGTGGCAGTACCTGTCAGGCTGTCGTCTTGCTGGGTGCTGTCGTGGTGCTGGTCCTGCTTCGTGTCCGTGATGGGAACGGTCAGATTCGGCGGGCGCGGTTCAGCACGCTGACCTTCACCAACCGCCCCCCCTGGCCGACGCGGGGAGTGGCCGTCCTCCCCCTCAGCCCTGTTGCTTGCAACGGTTTGACTCCTGTGGTGGATATCGTTGTCTTTGTCCTTTCCGCAAAATTGTGGCGACGTGATGCCAAGTAGGTCGGTACTCACATCCATCCTCTCGCGTGTGGTGCGTGCATGCTGGCTCTTTGTATTCGTACTGCTGGTCTCGTCGGACGGGTCGATCTCGCTTGATGAGGCATATCAGCAAAACGCGGGCGACGTGCCAACCGGGCCGGTACTCACATCCAGCCTCATGTGAGGCGGTGTGGTGCGTGCTTTTTGGTCATTTCCCAAGCCGTTGTTGTCCTCGTCGTGCTGGCTGCGGTTGGTCGTCTGCTGCGTATCTCGGCAAAACGTGGGCGAATTGTCGCCAAGCAGGTCGGTACTCACAACAGCCATCTGCAGAGGGGGTGTGGTGCGTGCCTGCTGGCTGTTTGCCGAGCTGCTATCGTGTCCTTGTTCTCCGGCTTCTTTCTCCGCTTCGCTGAGCCAGTGGAGTAATTTGTACTTGATGCTGATGTATCCTCGTTGTCTCTTGCACTCGTTTCTCATTGTGTCCGAGATGTAGTGTCGTCATTGTTCAGCGTAGCTTGCAGAACCATCTGGCTTCCGTTCTGAGTAATACGAGTGAGTGGCTTGTGTGTGCTGATGTGTCGTGCTGCGTGACTTCTGTGCCGTGTCTCGGTGGCGGTCCTTTGCATCCTTCGCTGAACCAATCCTTCACGACTTCGAAGTTGGTGTCCTCACCCACTTTTTGTTGGCAGCACTTGCATTGCCACCCTTTGCCTCGTCTTGGTCTCGTCAGGTTGTGTGTGGTTGGTGGTCGTCTTCCGCCCTCTGATTGGTCAGGTCCGACGAGGAGGAGGAGGAGGAGGAGGAGGAGAAGGAGGAGGAGGAGGAGGAGGCGGAGGAGTGGGTGGCGGATGATCAGGAGGATGAGCAGGAGAATGGGCAGGCGGAGCAGGAGGAGTATGAGGAAGGGCGAGGTGGACGAGGACGAACAGCAGCAGCGGAAATTGGAGTGAAGGGAGTTCGAGGACCACGAAGACCAGAGGAAGGACTCGGTTCCAGAAAAGTGGCCCGCGCTGGGGCGAGAGCGCCATTCCGATCGACGGATGCACAGCGCCCAGCCTAAAGTAAGGCCAGCGCTGCAGCGGCAGGTCAATTTTGAGGCACCGAAAACCGCGGTTAAACATCAGACGAATCACACATACATGTGTGACAGCCTGCGTGTGAAAGCAATGCGCGGAGGGGGCGGCTACTCCCCAGCCGGTGTGAACGAGGTAAGTCGTATTCATTTGCAACAGGCGTACGTCACTTCCGCCGACTCCCTCTACCTCCGTCTATATTCATATAAATGTATATATACACACGTGTATGTATGAATGCATACAGACGCATATATTGGCAACCATCTATACACATACATACATACATACATACATACATACATACATACATACATACACACATACACACATACACACATACATACATGCACACGCACATGCATACATACACATATACATACATACACATATATACATACACGTGCATGTAGACATGCATACATACACACATGTACTTGCGTGTATGCATACATGCACGCATGCATGCATACACACATACAACCGTATATAGCCGTGCACGAAAGCATGCACACATACTTGCATACGTACGTACGTGTGCACGTACATACATAAACGCATACACATATACATACACGCATACATCATTCCACACATACACATACATACATACATATACATATACATACATAATACATTCATGCATCTATGCAAACAACCAGGCATACATACATACACGCACGCATCCAGAATTACATGCATACATACATGCATACCTACTCACATGTATGCATACAAACATGCAGCCCTATACATTCATATTTACATATATATATATATGTATATATACATCGATAGATAGATACATGGGTGTATATATACATATATATAGAGAGAGACATATACATATAGATAGCCAGCGTTCCAGGCCTGGGGGGGTCCAGGCTTATTCCCCCATGGTGGTGCTGGGGCTTCAGGAGATCTCTTTCCCGCTCCAAGACGACTTAGATGCCCTCCAAGACCCCAGATGGTTCAAGACGGCCTCAGAGATGCCTCCAACACCGCCAAGAAGCCCCTAAGACGTCCCCAGAGGCCCCCAAGAGACCTCCCAAGAGGGCCCCAAGAGGCAAAACTGACTTCATTTCCATTTGAGAACGGATATTTTTTACCATATTCGCTCGTTGGGCTTTCACGGCGTCCAAGACGGTCCGAGAGGCCACCAAGATCGCCCCAAGACGGCCCAAGAGGCTCCCAAGAGGGCTCCAAGACAGCCCAAGAGGGCCCCAAGACGGCCGACGAGGGCCCCACGACGCCCCAAGAAGGAGCCCAGAGGGGTCCCCGAGCGGGCATGTGAAGCTCTCCTGCCCCTAGAGGTCCCCAGGAGTCCCCACGAGGCCCAACAGGCTCTCCAAGAGAACCAAAGAGGTCCCCTTGAGACCCCGCCCCAAGGCGCGCCAGCCTTCAGCCCTCCGGAGAGGCGCTGCTGGTGCTTGCTTGAGCCGCCCGCAGCTTGGTCGTCAGAAAAAGCGCCGGCGCGGAAGGAGAGAATGAGGAGGGAGGAGGAGGACGAGGAAGAGGAAGAGGAGGAGGAGGAGGAGAAGGAGAAGGAGGAGGAGGAGGAGAAAAGGACAGGAAAAAGATGTGGAGAAAGGATGAGGGTGACGACGACGGCAGCGACGCGCCCATCCTTAGAACGCAAACACACCCGCGCACGCACGCGCACACGCACACACAGGCACAAGCACGCACACACAAACACACACACGCTTTTTTTCCAACAATGACAAGG